GAAAACATAACTTAATAAATAAAGACCACAAGAGAAAAGCATCCATTTGGTATAATTATAATAAGCATGTACCTTACCTGGTAGCATCCACTCCCCCAGTCTGGGTAGCTCAGCTTTCTCTCACACCTTTCCATGACAAATGCTGATTTCTGAATTAGACAAACTGAATGAGGTCCGTACTTCTCAGCACCATAGTTTTTTAAAATTTCTGAAGAAAACCAGAAAAATCTTCTCAAATACTGATTTTAAAGCTGGGGTATCAGGTGGCTCACACCTGTAATTCTAGCTACTCAGAAGGCTGACAACTAAAGATTGCAGCTCCAAGCCAGCCTGGTAAGAAAAGCCATGGCTTTTTTTTTTTTTAAGGCCAAGCTCATATCTCCAATTAACTAGCAAGAAAAAAAAAAAGCCAGAAGTAGAGCTGTGGCTCAAGTGATAGAGCACTAGCTTTGAGCAAAAAAGCTCAGAAACAATACCCAGGCCCTGAGGTTAAGTCCCAGGATGGACACACACATATACACATATACACACACACACTCAGGCACACACGCAGGCATGCACACAAACTGATTTTGAATGCAAAGAATAAGAACAAGAAATTGAATCATTCTGTTTTTGCTGTTAAGATTGGCTTTAGGGGACAAGGCAGAGGCAGGGATGCTGAGTTACGTCAATATCAAACTTGAGCTGGGTGCTGGTAGCTCACATCTGTAATCCTAGTTACTCAGAGCGCTGAGTTCTAAGGATGGAGATTCAAAGCCAGCCCAGGCAGGAAAGTCTGAGATTCTTTTTTTTTTCTTTTTGCTGGTTGTGGGGCTTGAACTCAGGGACTTGAGCTCTGTTCCTGAGCTCTTTTGCTCAAGGATAGCACTCTACCACTTTGAGCCACCATTCCACTTCCGGTTTTCTGGTGGTTAATCAGAGATGAAAGTTTCATGGACTTTCCTGCCAGGGTTGCCTTTGAACCATAATCCTCAGATCTCAGCCTCCTGAATAGCTAAGATTACAGGCAGGAGTGAGTTGTCTGTGAGATTTTTATCTCCACAATTAACCACCAAAGGTATGTCAGAAAATCAGTCTGGGGGGGAGGGGGAGGGGAAGAAAATGAGGAAGGCAACAATATTCGACAAGAATTATACTCCTTTCCTTACTTATATAGCTGTAACCCCTCTGTACATCACCTTTACAATAAAAAAAAACCCAAACAAAAAGAAAGGTAGCCTTAAGCAAAAAAAAAAAAAAAAAAAAAAGCTAAACATGAGAGCAAGGTCCTGAGTTCAAGCCCCAGTACTGACAACGAAAAAAATTAAAAATATATAATAACATAAAAATCAAGGAAGTGGAGCTGTGGCTCAAGTAGCAGAGTGCTAACCTTGAGCAGAAAAGCTCAGGGGCAACTCCCAAGCTCTGAGTTCATCTCCACGACCTCCCCCCTCACCCCCTCCAAAAAGAAAGAAAAAGAAAAACAAATCAAACTTGATTGAAGAAAATTTGGTTCATGTTTATAATCCTAGCTACTCAGGAGGCTAATATCTGAGGATTGCAGTTTGAAGCCAGACCAAGCAGGAAAGTCTATGAGACTCTGATCTCCAATTAACCACCAGAAAACCAGAAAGTGGCACTCTGACTCAAGTGGTAGAGTGCTAGCCTTGAGCTGAATTGCTGAGGCACAGCTGCCAGGCCCAGAGTTCAAGCCCCACAATCAAAAATTACACACACACACACACACACACACACACACACACACACACACACACACACATACTAGTTTTGAAAAAAAAAAACTTGGCCAGAGTTCAAGCCCCACAATCAAAAATTACACACACACACACACAGACACATACACGTTTTGAAAAAAAAACTTGGTATTATGAGTAAGAACGGCTGAGAAGGTAGCTCAGTGATAGTGTGCTTGCCTTGCATGCATGAGGCCCTGGGTTTGATTTCTCGGCACCATAAAAACAGAAAAAGCTGGAAGTAGCGTTGTGGTTCAAGTGGTAGATCTCCAGCCTTGAGCAAAAGAAGCTTAGGGACAGTGTACAGGCACTGAGCTCAAGCCCCATGCCCAACAAAAAAAAAAAAAAGAAAGAAAGAAAAGAAAAAATCATGGACTTTCCTACCCAAGCTGGCTTTGAACCACAATCCTCAGATCTTAGCTTCCTGGGTAGCTAGGATTGGCAGGCATGTTATGGGCTCCAGGCTTCCATGTTCTTTTTTTTTTTTTTTTGGTCGGTCATGGGGCTTGAACTCTGGGCGTGGGCGCTGTCCCTCAGCTCTTCAGCTCAAGGCTAGCACTCTACCACTTGAGCCACAGCGCCACTTCCGGCTTTTTTCTTTTTGCTTATGTGGTGCTGAGGAATCGAACCCAGGGCCTCATGCATGCAAGGCAAGTGCTCTACCACTAAGCCACCTTCCCAGCCCCTTATTATTTATTTTTATCAGAGGTAAGAATCTTTCTGTTTATAAAGTTTGTGTCAGCTATACCTATTATTATGGAATACTCTAATTACATGGTTTATTCCTTTCATGTTTTATTCTTTTCTAATTTATTTTATGTTTTGTTCTTATACGTATTAAAATGAAGCAAGTAATATGCAAATATCTTACTGGCCACGTGACAACAACATTACCTTGCTAGCTAAAACTGACATGTTAGCCAGGTACTGATGGCTCACACCCATAATTCTAGCTACTCAGGAGCCTGAAATCAGAGGATCATGGTTCAAAGCCAGCCCGGGCAGAAAAGTCCCTGAGACACTTTATCTCCAATTAACTATCAGAAAACCAGAGGTGGCATTAAAGCTCACAGTGTCCAGACCAAGTTCAAGCCCCATGACTGACAAAAAAATGTTATTTATAAATATGATACCTCCCAAGAGAGGAAAAAGTAGGTTACTGGTGTTTTTCACTAAAAAAAATTCTGCACAGGAGAATCTTGTACCAACGCAGTTAATAGTATTATTATCTGTTAATTAGACAGTGAAATACTGTAGCATGTTCCCTATGTTTCTCCTTAAAGTTTTAGAAAAATGAAATGAAAAATAATAAAAATGCTTTACAAGTAAAAAGAACTGTGAAATGTAAGGTATTGCTCAAAGTAGTCTATGTGCATATATGCCTGTTACGTAATGGCCAAAATTCTTTGCAAGTGTCAGACAGTTCTAAGCACTTACTATATTAATTTATTTAATCTTCAGAATAACTCTAAGAAACTGTTACTGTACATGCGGTGAAGTTTTTTTTTTTTTTTTTGTCTTTTATTGTATACTGGTGTTTGAACACAGGGCTTTACCTTCACTCAGCTTCTTTGCTTGGAAGGTGCTCTACCACTTGAAAACTATGCCTCCCATCCAGCATGTTACTGGCTACCTGGATGGAGTCTCACAAACATTTTTTCTCAGGCTAGCTTAAAACCTTGATTTTCCAGATCTTAGCTTCCTTAGCAGTTAGGATTACAGGTGTAAGCCATCAGTGCTTAGCTCGGAAAAAAAGTAACTTCTGATAGATGGGTACTGGAAACACACATCTCAGTACTATTTGAGATTGTTTTTGAGCAAAAAAGCTCATGGACAGTACCCAGGCCCTGAGTTCAAGCCCCAGGACTAACAAAAAGAAAAGAAAAAAAGAAAAAAAAGAAATGTTATTTATAAATTATGACACTTCCCAAGAGAGGAAAAACTAGGTTACTGAAGGTGTTTTTCATTTAAAACAAAAAACTCTGCACAGGAGAACCTGGCACCAACACCAGCATATATGACTCCAAGGACTGTGCCCTTAATCTCTATTTTTCATTGTTGTACATATGTATATATATATATATATATATATATTTTATTTTTGTTAGGCCTGGGGCTTGAACTCAGGGCCTGGGCATTGTTCTTGAGCTTTTTTGCTCAAGGCAAACACTCTATCATTTGAGCCACAGCTCTACTTCCAGCATTTTGGTGGCTAATTGGAGATAAGAGTTCCACAGATTTTTCTGCTGGGGCTGGCTTTGCTTCAAACCTCAATCTGCAGATCTCAGTCTTCTGAGTAGCTAGGATTACAGGCATGAGCCATTGACACACACATGCTTATTACACACATGCACTTCATTTCACTAGACCACTAACCTGGTTGATTTTCTAGTATTCTACAATCGGAGCTGCGCTGATATTCACCACTAAAATGCCAACTGAATTCCTGACTGAAAGGGCAATAGTCAGCAATTTCTACTGACCCACCATAATAAGGCAAATCTTCTGTAGGTATTCCACTGAGTTCATCAAAATACTGCAAAAATAAAAGGAAAAAAAAAAGCAAGATAGGAAAGTAAGAATCATTTTGTATAATAAGAATCAAGTCTATAGGCAACTTATAGCAATCATCTCAGGGCTTTTTTTTTTTTGCTCAAGGCTAGCACTCTATCACTTGAGTCAGAGCTCCACTTCCGGCTTTTTTGGTGGTTTAATGGAGTTAAGAGTCTCATGGGCTGGGTGACAGTGGTGAATGCCTGTAATCGTAGCTACTCATGAGGCTGAGATCTGAGGATCACTGTTCAAAGCCAGCCCAGGTAGGAAAGTCTGTGAGACTCTTGTCTTCGATAAACTACTTTCAAAAAAAAAGCCGAAAGTGGATCTGGGCGCTGGTGGCTCACACCTGTAATCCTAGCTACTCAGGAGGCTGAGATCTAAGGATCACAGTTCAGAGCCAGCCTGAGCAGGAAGGGCTGAGAGACACTTATCTCCAATAAAAACCACTAGAAAATGGGAAGTGGCGCTGTGGCTCACACGGTAGAGCGCTCACCTTGAGCTGAAAAGTGCAGGGACAGCGCCCAAGCCCAGAGTTCAAGCCCCAGGAATGGAAAAAACAAAAAAACAACAACAAATATTCTAAATAGCTTCTGCCACTATCACGATATAACTGCTATAAACTAGTTCCTTATACATTTATAAACTGAACACAATGTACTCCCAGTTCAAAATGGAGACAGCTTTTAAAAATTGCGCGTCAAGGCGTGAGGCGCGTGTCGTGGTCTCCGGGTCTCCCGACAGCTCTACTACAAAGATGGTCAACGTACCCAAAACCAGAAGGACTTTCTGTAAGAAATGTGGCAAGCATCAGCCTCACAAAGTGACCCAGTACAAGAAGGGCAAAGATTCTCTATATGCCCACGGGAAGAGGCGCTACGATCGGAAGCAAAGCGGCTATGGTGGGCAGACCAAGCCAATATTCCGAAAGAAGGCTAAAACCACCAAGAAGATTGTGCTGAGGCTTGAATGTGTTGAGCCTAACTGCAGATCCAAGAGGATGCTGGCCATCAAGAGATGCAAGCATTTTGAACTGGGAGGAGATAAGAAGAGAAAGGGCCAAGTGATCCAGTTCTAAACTTTGGGGGGAGGAGGGAGGTGGGGGTCTTAATTTTGAGGGGAAGATCTTGAAGCTATAAAATTACCTGATGGAAAACTAATAAATCTCAGAAAATACCCCCAAAAAAAAATTGCGTGTCAAACAAATGTTACCTGGTAGTCTGGTGGTAATGGTTTTGGAAACTTCTGTAGATTACACACAGCCACTGCTCTCTGGTCCTGTCTGCAGGTTAACTGCAGTGGGTTACTTCTGAGAGTGTCACAGTAAGGACTGAGCATCTGTCTCCTGCACATGGAGAGAAGTACCTGATATCAATTATTTTTTATAACAAAGTTTATTAAGTAAATTCCGTGTATCTTAGTAACAAATTTTGGAGAAAATACTGTAAGTCCATTATACAGCTTATCTTTCAAACTATAATTTCAATAGTCTACTGTAAATTTTTGAAGAAAGACAGTTATTATAGGATAAAAGGAAATGCTTAATATGGATATGGAAGGTTAATGCTAGATGAATTCTAACAATATTGTACTGTTATTAAATAAAATCCTGCTCATCTTCTTCTCTGTTTTTGCCAGTAAAATTGAGATCTGCAAATCTGCTTTTTTTTTTTGGGTCCGG